GGGGACATGGCAGGGCGGCCGAAAGAACGACCGTTGACAACAGGGAGGGGGAGAGAGAGAGAGAAGGAAAGAAAGTGGGGCATGGCGTACCGCAGTGTGCTCAGAGTCTCATCGTAATTGATCTCGGCCGGCGAGAGAGCCGCCAACATGCATGTTTTGGAGTTACCACCGAGATTGTCCTTCAGCAGCCAGGTGAGCACCGAATCACGGTACGGAATGTGGATCTTCTTTTTGGGATCGGCAGACATGTCGGCCAGGGCGGAAATGACCATGCCCAGGGCCGTCAGGGACTTGTTGATGTTGGACCCTTCGCGAAGTCGAGCGCCAGTGGCACCGGTGGAATCGGCGCGCTCGGAACCAGCCAAATCCACCAGCGCGATCTTCGACACCTTCTCAGCCACCAGGCCAGTGGCAAGGTCCTTCTGCCGCTGGGTCATGATCATGGTGAAGACGGCGTGCGACCGGGAGGACGTCTCGTTCATGTTGGTGGCGGCCACCGTGCGCGCCTTGTTGCCCTCATCCATCAGACGGTCGATGTCGGCGAAGGAGGAAACCAGGACCTTGGCCAAGCCCTCGACGTAGGGGCCCAGGGTTTTGTGCTCGCGAACACGGAGTTGGTCACTGGGAGGAGGGGCAGACACACCGGCAGAGGGTCAGCCCATGGACAGCGGGAAAAGGTCAAGCGGAGGGGGATGGGCCGAGCAGGGGAGAGTTGGCGGGGCGGGGCGACGCACGATCCCTTGGGATTGAGGAGATCCTTGACTTTCTCGTTGTAAATTTCCAGATAGCTCACCTCGACAGTGTAGTTGAGATCAGGATCGGAGTTCTGCTCGATGCGGCTTTGGATGGAGGGAAGGAGGGGGAAGGAGAGAGAGAGAGAGGGGGGGGGAGAGAAGGAGGGAGAGAGGGGAAGAGGCAGGGATGACGGGAAGGAAGGGAGTTAGTGGTGAGACGGATGCTTGATGCAGTGCGGGGTGACGACCAGGGCGCACCTGAAGATCTCCTCGCAGATTCGAGGAATCAGGCCGCGCTCGGGGCCATAGCCCATCATACTGTAGGACTTACCGGAACCCGTTTGGCCATAGGCAAACAGGCAACAGTTGTAGCCCTGTGCCACCCAATGGCCGGGGGGAAGGGAAGGATGGAGACAGGTGTCAGAATGTGCATGTGCATGTATGTGCGTGCACGTGCACGCGTGCGCGTGTGGAACAATGACATCAGCGAAGAGGGAGGAGGATGTAGAAGAGGAGGAAGGCGCACATCAAACGAGTGGTTGACCATCTCGACACCGATCTCCTGGTAGACGATCTCCTGCGATGCGTAGTTTGGCGCCTCGGCATCGAAGGACCAGTAGGAGTTGTCGAAAGCATAGTCATGGCGCTTGCCCTGAGCGACGGGGAGTGCAGCGGGAGCAAGGGAGGGGCCGGGAGGGGGGGAGGGGGGGGGGGACAAAGCAAATGGTTAGCATTGGAGAAGCGGCCTGCCGGGAAAAACAACATGCACGAGATGCGCAAAGGGCGGGCGGAAACGGACGTTGTGCTCGATCGTGGTCGACTGGCCGTTCATGCTGATGACGCGCTTGGATTTGGCGGCCTTCTCGCGGCCGTTAAACGGCCGCACGCGAACGAACACCTTGACCGAGGACATGGTGACTTCGGAGGCGGACGGACGGGAGGTGACGTCCCAGACGCCGCGCGGCAGAGCACTCCTGCTGAAGGGGGATCACAGGGGGGGGAAGGGGAGGAAGGGGGGAGGGCCGGGCTGGAAGGGAGGGAGGGAGGAGTGATAGGGAGGGGAGAGCGAAATGGGGGGGGGGGGAGGGGGAGGGGAAGCAGAAGGTAAGCCCTGACACAGTCTGCCGATGGTGAGGAATGGCTGCCTCCGGCTCGGGCAGCGAGAATACACCTTCTCTTGGAGAGGAGACCGAGTGAGCCACCTGCTGGGGGGCTGCCTTGGGGAGGAATGCCTCTGCCAACCGGGCCGGGGACAGCGCGACCACCCAGATCGGGCACCTCTTCGCATCCTTGTGTCCCGGCCAAGTTGCGACTCTGTCCCTTCACTCGCACCACCGGCTCGCGGCCGCACGCGCGCACGCACGCACGCACGCAGACACACACAGACACGCACAGACACAGCTCTGGGCTCCAGGATGGGCAGATGCATCTCACCGGAGAAGGGAGCCATAAACAGGGAAGCCCCAAGCGGGTGGCTCGCCAGCGCCACTCCGCGCCCGGGTACGGGTTTGGGTGGTGACTGAGGGGGGAGTTAAAAAAAGGCAGGCATGTATCCCCTCCCTGCGAGTGCCGGCGACGGGAGGCAGACCAACGGCTCGGATAGGTGCCCTGCACACTCGGGCAGCTGCAAGAGGAATGTGTCGGGGTATGCATCGGGGGGAGGGAAAACACGAATGCACACACACACACACACTCGGACACTCAACGGGAGGGAGAGAGAGAGAGAGATACATTCGCACTTGTGCCCTCCCCTTTGCACGGGCATGGACACACCCACACAGGAAGGCCTGCCAGTTGGGGCAGAAACCGGGCCCGACCCGCTGGCGAACTGCACTTGCAACCGGCGTGGAGGAGAGGGGGAAAACAAGACAGGGCCACTCACGCAAGCAGATCGGTTCGTTGGTACACCAGACGCTGTGGCGGGGCGGCGGAGGGAAAATAACGACCCACAAAGGGATCGCCGTCCAGAGAAACCAGGGCACGGCGGCAAAGCGCGGAGGAGGGGGGGGGGGGGGCGGGGCGGGGGATTCGGAGGCGGGCATGGGATGGTGCTGCAAGGCCGACCAACATCGGCTCAGGGCGTCCCCGCGCGTGGAAGCCCACACACCGACAAGCGCCCGGCCCTCGGCCAAGTGTGCCCCCCCCCCCCTATACTCGGCGCATGAATGCTAGGCGCTTCCACTGCCCGGAAAGGGTCTGAGTCAGTCACAACAACCGCCCCCCAGGCCGGCACCTCGCGGGCCTCGACATGGTATTCAGGCGGCCGGCGGGTCTAAGTAAATATAACCAGGAAAAGGGCCGCCCGAGATGGGCGCCGCCCGCGTCTCTCCCTCATGCGGGTCGGCAACAACGCGCTCCCGCGACTGGCGGTCGCCCCAGCCGAAAGGGATCTGACTGTTCTGAAGCTCCCTTTGCCCGTGACTACATCACGGTATTACCGCGTCGGATCATGCCACCAATATCGCAACACTCTGACGAGCCCAACGAGGTCCGAACCCCATTGAACACTCTGGACGGTGGTCTCGCCCCGAGGCGGGGTGCCAGACTTCCCCCCCCCCTCCCCCCGGTGGGGGCGCGCCAGGCCGGCGGAGAAGCGGGCAGGGCCGGCGCAGGCGGGTTGGAAACGCAGGCAGCCACACCCTGCGCTCTGTCAGGTGGGCCATCCGTTTTTGCATGGGCCCGGCGAAGCGGGTGGCCGGAAGGGTAAGCGTGCGGCCGGAGCAACGAGGCACAGCGGGGGGGGGGGGGGGGGGCGGCGGCAGCGGGCAGAAACGGCCACGCGAGGCTCGTGCCTTGGTGTGGGGGAGATCTGCCGCCGCCACACCAGGTGCCCCCGGACCGGGCTGGCCAGCCCGGTATGCCTCGGCGTGCAAGGGGGCATGTCCGGAGCCCCTCGCCCGTGCGTTGAGGGGGCCCCGCGGCCCGCCCTGGGGCGTAAACACCGCTCCGCCCCCTGTGGGTGAACGTGTGCCGGGGGGCCGTCGTGCCCAGGTGCAAGGGGTAAGCAGTGGTCCGGGGTGGGAGGGGAAAGTCAATGGGGGCGCACTGCACGCACAGGCGCGCACATCCCCCCCCCCCTTTGGGCGTGTCTCTGGGTGCATGTGTGTGTGTGTGTGTGCCAGTGGGCGCGCATATGACGCTGTCCAATCCAAAGGGCAGGCCCAGTGATGGCCCGCGGTCTGCCAAGCCCCAGACAGAACCCCCTCCACCTTCCCTCCCCTTTTCCACCCCCCCCCCCTCCATCCTTCCCCTCCGCATTACTGTAACTATGCTCTCCCGCTTCGCCTCTCTTCAGCGCGCTGTGCCCCTGCTTTCGGCCGCCGCCCCCCGGCGCTTCTACCACCCGAATGTCATCGACCACTACGAGCGCCCGCGCAACGTCGGTCTCCTGGACAAGAAGTCCTCTTCGGTCGGTACCGGCCTTGTCGGTGCCCCGGCCTGTGGCGATGTCATGCAGCTTCAGGTTGATGTACGCCTGGAGCGAGACAGAGAGGGAGAGAGAGAGAGAGAGATCTCTCCCAATCCAAACCCCAGCCCCCCTTGTGCCCATCCTTGTCCCCCTCCCTGTGCCGCCAATCCTAACCGCACATCTCCCCCACCCCCCTACCTCCCTCCGCACACCAGGTTGATGAGAACGGCCGCATTCGCGATGCCAAGTTCAAGACTTTCGGCTGTGGCTCGGCCATCGCCTCCTCTTCGCTGGCTACCGAGTGGATCATCGGCAAGTCCCTGGACGAGGCGGCTGCCATCAAGAACAGCGACATTGCCAAGGAGCTTTGCCTCCCTCCGGTCAAGCTCCACTGCTCCAGTACGTGGCCCCCGCCTTGCCTACATGTTCCCCAAGGGGCCCACTGTCGGACTTTCGATGTCTTCCCAGGCATGCGTGCGCATGCGCATTGATTTTGTGTTAACACGCCCATCCTCCCCCTTCCGCACCCTCCCCTGCACTCGCACAGTGCTCGCCGAGGAGGCCATCAAGAAGGCCCTCAGCGACTATGAGAAGAAGCAGGCCGCTCTCAAGGCTGCTTCGGCCTGAGCGCGCCCCCCCCCCCCCGCCCCGTACCCTCTCGCGAGCCACCAGTGCAACTTGAAAAAAAAAATAACACGCGACACAGGGGCGCAACCCCCTCTCTCCCGCCAGGGTACAACTTGAGAGTCTCTTCCCTCCCTCGGTGATGTTGCCCCTCCCATGCCCGCGGGCTGTCCCTGCGCCCGGCGCTCGGCCCTCCGGCCATTGATACAGGAACAAACATAGAGCACCTCGCACATCTGAATGTAAAATAGTTCTCCACCGGTTGTTGTCTATCCTTTTGCTTGCGGCCTGCCTTTTTTTTTTTTTTTTGGTGTCCCGTTCGGGGAGAAGAGGGCAAGGGCGGACTCACACGCATGCATTGGTCAAGGAAAAATGGTGCCGGACTTGTGAGCATGCTTGGCCCCACCACACACGGTTGAGTGGTGTAATGGTTATCACGGCAGACTCTGAATCTGTCAATCCGAGTTCGATTCTCGGCTCGACCTTTTGCTCCTTGGGGCACCGGTCCTCCATTGCTCTTTTGGCCACACGGAAGCAGGAACAGGCACACAAGCACGACCGAGGGGGCGGCGAAAGGGACCAAGACAAAGACATGCCCCGCGAGACTTGAACAGGGCGGAGGAGGGGCAACCGCCCGAGGGCCCCGTTCGCGGCACGACGCCTGGCGTGCCAGCCCCCGCTCCCTCTTAAGATGATCTCCGCGCGGAGATGGCTGGTGGGCACGCTCCGCGGGGAGGGGGGAAAAAATATTCCGGAAAAGGGCAACGGTGTATATGGCAGCGGGGAAGCACAAAGAGAGGGAGAAGAATATATGAATACAGGAGGGTGGCGCGTCGAGAGGGAGCGGGAAGGACCCGCGCACCCCGAGAGACCTCCAGGAGGGGGGATGATGCACACACACACACACATATACACACGCACGCGCGCGCGCGCGCGCGCGCACGCCTCGGCACGAATGGTGGTGTTTGAAAAGGGGAGATCACGCTCGGAACCCAGTGTCTAGCAGGCTTGCGCGAGGCGCGAGCGAGGAGGGGGGAGAGAGGGTGGGGGCCGACGGCCAGGCGTCTGAAAAGAGGGGAGAGACAGCAGAGGGCACGGCGCTCGCTCTGGCTGAGACCCGCTCGAGGGAGGAAAGAAGGGGAAGGGAGAAGCACTGCATGTCCGTCCACGCGCGCGTATGGGGAGGGGGGGGGGAGGAAAAGGGAAGGAAAGGTCTGGCGCCCTTTAGTTGCGGAGCTTGCGGGTGCTGGGGAGCTCACCGGCCTCGGCGGCGTCAAGGCGAGCCTTGCCGATGCCCATGCTCTGGAACATGCAGGTGTCGAGGACGTTCTGCTCCTGGCGGCAGTAGCGGAAGGACTGGTTGTTAAGGTCGATGCACTTCCAGTAGCGGAAGAACTCGTCCGAGCAGTAGGCGTTGACCTTGTTCATGCTGAACAGGGGAGGGAGAGAGAGAGAGAGAGCGGGGAGGAGGGGGAATGGGGTCAGCGGAAGGGTCGGCGGGGAGGGGGAGAGGGAGGGTGGATGGGTACAGCAGGGGGAAGAATGGAGGAGGTAGACAGGGCGTACATCTCGGAGGCACACTTGACAACCTCGACACTCTCGTCGATGCACTTGTCGACGGCACTACGGAGGGGAGAGGGGAGAGGGGGGAGGACCGGAGAGCGGGGGGATGTTAGCCAGTGGAAGCAGCAAACGAGGGACAGAGATTAGGCCAGACGCACATGTTGGGGTTGTTCTCGTGGCAGGTCATGAACTTGGTGTTCTGCTGCATGCAGTACTCGCCGATGTAGAAAGCAGAGCTGAGATCGCGACCAGGACAATCCCACCGGGGGGGTGGGGGGGGGAGCGGGAGAAGGAGGACAAAGGGATGGGTCAGTCTGGGGGCGGTCAAGGAGAGGAGAAACAGGGGAGAGAGGGGGGGAGGCCAAGCAAGCGCGAAAGGGGCTCTGGGCGCACGCCATCAGCGGGGACGAGGTCACCTGGAAGGAGGAGGCGGCCTCGGGAGAAAGGGGGGTCTTCTGGCTGTCGGTGGAGTCGGACATGGCTCTGTTGCGGATTGGCCAAGTCCGTCGGCGGACACGAGAGGGAACAGACCGGTTAGGAGGAGCCAAAGGCAGCGGAAGAGCAGGGCAGAGATTCCAAGAAAAAGGGAGGGGGGACGAAGGGGAAGGGCGGGAGAGGGCGGCAATGCCATGGCCGCTGGGGCCCAAGCACAAGGACAGGCGGGCCGCCATCGGGTGCCACCCATGCGACCGGCAACGGAGTCCGACGGCCGGCGCAGCTACACGCGCGCGCGCGCGCGCGCGAAGCCCACGCCCAGACGATAGGGGGGGAGGCAAAGTTTGGGGGCACACCAGGGGGAGGAGGGAGAGAGGGGGGGGGAGGGCAATAGGTACAATTCAAGAAAGAGGGAGAGGTCGGGGAGCAGTAGGGGGGGGGAGATACTGCCGGGGCCGGGGCCTGTGTGTGGCGGACGGCCCCGGCAGCCGGCCCTGAGGGGGCAGCCCCTTCAGTTGCAGAACAAGAGAAACAGCGCGGCGATCGGCGCCCGGCGAGAGACACGTCTGGAGGCGCAACGAGAGGGGGGGGGGGGAGCAGCCCAGCCCGGCCGGCCCGCCGTCCAGGCAAACCTCGAACGCCCCCCCCCTCCCAGGGGACATATATTCAAGCTTGCAGGGAAGAGCAAAAGGGCGAGAGCAGAGAACGGGGAATGGGGGACACCCGCGCGACCTTCCGGCCGAACAGGTGCTATCTAGGCCGGTCAGCCTGCATGTTGGGGAGCAACAACCCTCCCCGCTCCCTTCACAGGCACCCCCCCCCCCCCCAGACGAGAGTGGATGCCAACTGAACACTCTTCAACCCTACTACTGCCTGCGCGCGGACACGCGCGCGCCTCCCCCCGCGCCGCCATACCCTGTTGGACCCGACCGCAAAAGGCCGAGGAAGGGGGCAGCAATGCCACAGCCCTGGCCTGCCCGGTGGACCAAGCCACCGGACAGGCGCCTCAAGTGCGCATGCGCATCCACATCCCCACATGTCCGGATAAGAGACCAAAGCAAGAGGCAAGGGCGAAAGAACGAAAGAGAGAGAGGGGGGGGGGGGGGGGGGGGCGGAGGCAGGGTGGCAACAACATATGCGGCCAGTGGTGTGTTGAAATGGTATTCCGTGGTCTGATCAAAGCATGTGATATGTGCTTGAGAGGTGCTCTCTCAGGCGCGTGACCAGCTGGCCGAACTGCAGCCGCGCATTGGCCGACGGGCCATCGAGCCAGACACAGCGCACATGCACTGCCTCCTGGCCCTCCTCATGGCCTGCGCCGGACTCCGAAGGGCGAGCAGCCGGGGTGCAGAGAATCTCACATCGGAAGAGGTATGTCTGGTTCATGAAGTCCGGGGGATCGTGGGCCGGTGCGTCCCCTGCCTCCGGGGTGGGCCCACCGTCGGCCGGCGGTTGTGCCGAGTCAGCCAGAGCCTCACTGGCCGGGCGCTTTGCACCATGCAAACGCCGGGCCTTGCGGTTCCACGGGTTGAAGAGCATCCGCAGGCGCATGATGAGCTGCGGGGAACGGCGCGGCCCGTCGACTGGCGCGTGGGAAGAGTCGCCATCCGGCGCGTCGATGTCCGGCACGCCGGTGAGTCGGCACGCCTCAATCACAACTCCTCCGCCGGCCGAGAGGCCGAAGAAGCGTGCCAGGCTGGCCTTCAGGGAGGATAACTCCGGCACCGGGCCAGGAGGGTCTTTGTGTCGTGTCAGGGAGAACTCCTCAAAGTGGATGGCTCGCGGCCTGGCATGCTTGCCGATGGCCAGGGGGCTCTGGGGGAGGCCGATGCGGGATGAGCGAGAGCAGGAGGGACTACGTGGTCAGCAAGAAAGGGAGGGGAAAGGCCTGCACACGGGGACAGAAAAAAGAAGGCAGAAGAGCGACAAAGAGAGAGAGAGAGAGAGAGAAGGACAGAGGAAGAGGAGGGGACGCACGCGTGGAATATGGGCCTCAGTATGGGACCAGGCAATTGCCCATCGAGCGGTACGCCCTTGGCGAAACTCGGCAACCTGGAAGTTTGCGATCTGTCGTCGGCGGGATTTGAGGCGGAAGGAGGAAGAGGCGGTCAGGGACGAGGGGGGGGGGGGGGGGGGGGGGGGGGGGGGGGGGGGGGGGGGGGGGGGGGGGGGGGGGGGGGGGGGGACAAGAGGACCCTCTGCGAGATTGGAGGCGGGGAAGAGGGCTCGAGCCCACGGTGGACATACGGATTTCTCTCGCAGGTGACGGCGGACATCCTCAACATGTGAGGCAAATCCCAGCTGGCTGGTGTACCATCGGATGCGGGTCTGCAGGCCAGGAAGACAGGACTCGTCCACCAGCCGACGGACAAAGGCCGCCTCGCCGCCGGTGGTGCTCAACTCATGCGCAGCCCCCGGCGGGCGAGTGGTCGTCCAAGCGCCGGCCCCCGAGGCCCGGCGCAAACCAGCCGACGCATCCAGCTGGGCCTGCCCCGTGTAAAAGGGCGGGTTGCAAATGGTGAAGTCCAGGCGCCGTGGCAATGAGAGGGCCGTGGGTCTGGAGTCCCCGAAGGGGGACAATTCCAGATCACCGGTGTCCGGGTGGAAGAGCGGCTCCAGGATCGCAAGGGCCCCGTCTGGCCGGAGAGTGTGGAAGAGGGCAATTTCCTTGGCAAGACCATTGCGCTCGATGTTCGCCTGGGCTGAAGCGAGCGACTCGGCGTTGGTGTCTGAATTGGGCCAGGTTAGATCGGGGTATCCTGGACCCAGAAAGACGGGCATATGTATCCCCCCCCCCCCCCCCCCTGTGTCGGGGCGATATGGTGGAGCCGCCCGCCGCCGTGGCCGCAGCCGGGAGGCCCGGGTTCCGAGGAGCGAAAGGCCGAAACCAGCGACCTCCCCCCGCCCAACGCTTGCTGACTCGCCTCAGACCCCCCCCCCCCCCCCGCGCCGCTGACTGAGGAGGCGCACCGATGCCGAGCATCATCCAATCCGGATGGAGCCGCAGAGCCAGCAGTGGATAGATGCACGAATGGCCAACACCACTGTCACACCCGAGAGGGAAGGTCAATAGGAGGCGTGATGGCAGTGGGGAGGGAGGAGTAAGTGACGGGCAGTTGTGCCAAGGCGGCGGTGGCGGTGCAAAAGGGCATTGAGGACGCAGACGCACATGTCAATGCCGCAGGCTGGGGATCGGGCCGAGGGCGGGACCAGGCCCGTGGCATCCTCCGCGTCCTCGCCAAGGCCAAGCAAATCCTCCACCCAGTGGATGTAGTTTAGCCTGGGCGTTATGGTTGGAGGCCACCCGAAAGAGGGGGCGAGGCCAAAGAGAAGCAGGGTCAGTCCCATGTAAGATGCCCACACGGGGCGCAAGGAAGGGGGGAACGATTCAATTATTCACATGGCACAGCGGGGACATGGGACAAGGAGGGAGGAAGCGCAGTCGAGCACACTACCTGACCGTGATCGCCGGGCAGAGGACCCCCTCGGGGAGGACGACATCCAAGTTGAATTCATCCAGCAGCAGGGCCCGGGTCAGTGCAGCCGTGGCCCCGGGTCGGGAGAAGTCGATGCTGGCCAGAGGGGGGCGTGTGCGACCCGCTGTGGCAGCCTGGCTGGTCTGGGCGTCGGCCGGGTCACGGTCCCGGACACTGGAGGTATGATGGAGGTCAGGGGAGCCGGCCATAGCCAGAAGAACAGGCGAGGGAGGCAGGGCCGCCGAGGAAGGGGCGGCGGGAGGCGAGAGAGGGGGGGGGGGGGGGGGGGGGGGGGGGGGGGGGGGGGGGGGGGGGCGACAGGAGGCGTGCTGCGGGGGGGGGGGGGGGGGGGGAGGGGAACACGAACAAGTCCGCGAGGAAGGGATACTTCTGGGCGAGGGTCCGGAAGCAGGGGGTCCGCGAGGCGAAGCGATTCCGCGGGTGCATGGGCGGCGGGGACAGGAGGTGGCAAGAGGTCCGTGCGAGATGGCCAGGGCGGAGCAGCAGCGATGACGAAGAATGTGCGGTGCAATGGGTGGAGGGGACAGGGAGAGGGTCTTTTGCTCGCGCCCCCGGAGAAGGCAGGACAGGCCCCCCGGCCTCTTGACCTGAAGAAGGACAACATCAAGCGGAACGTCCATCTCATCCGGGTCCACCTCGGCCCGGTGTCCTCCCGTGCCCCCCTCTCCCTCTCTCTCCCCACATCTCAGCCCCGCACACTGTCTCTGCCTCTTCCCCGCCTGAGGCCCTGTGCCGCAGGAGGCACGACCCTGCCTACTCCACATGTTGGCTCCCCCCCCCCCCCTCCGCGGCCCCGATATACCGCACCATGGTCGGGAGGAGTTCGAAAAAAAACGGAGCGCCCCTCTCGGTCCCGGGCGCTGCCACGTCCCCTCTCTCGCCCCTCCTTCCCCCCTCCCTTGGGCGCGGGCGGCAGTGAAAGAAAGGGAAAAAACGATGATGCGGATGAGATGGCCAGGTGTGTGAGGCAGGTATATTTTTTCTCTTGGGGTCACACACAGCACACAACACGGGGCTCCCCCCACAGGTGGGAAGGGGGGCACCGCCGCCGCAGTGGGGCCGCGCGCACACACGCAAAATTAAGCAACCCACATGCACATGCAAACCCGACACACTGCCTGCGCACAGCGCCCCTGCAGAGAGGGGGAGAGACGCGGCGCGGGAAGGTGTAGTGGATGCACAGCCAAGGGGGGACCACCCCGGGAGCAGCCCGGGAAAGAGAGGGGCACAGGACACGACCGGGGGACAACGCATCGGCGCGCGCCCCAAGAAGATCCCGGGGACCCGGGGGGGGGGAGTCATCCTCTGCGGACCGGAAGGGGGTGCGATGAGAGAGAGACGAGAGAGAACACATTTAGTTCTCCTCCTCCTCACCCTCGAACTCCTCATCACCACCCTCAAGGTCGAAGTACTTGATGGTGTAGGTGTAGGAGCCGGTGGCGGAGACGCGCATGTAGTCACGGAAGTTGTTCTTCTTGAGGAACTTCTTGGTGAGGTACTTGAGGTAGCGCTTGGAGAAGGCGATGGTGGTGGTGACGTTCAGGAAGTCGCCATCAGCCTCAACAACGATGTCCTCGCCGAGGTTGGCGGTCTTGCCGTTGACCTTGATGCGGCTGGCAATGTACTGCTGGAAGTTGTCCATGTCGAAGATGGAGTCACCCAGGGGGAGGGAGCAGTCGATCTTGAAGACGCGCTTGGCAGCCTTGGGGGTAGAAACGGGCTGTGATGAGGGGGGAGGGCGGCGGCGGCAGAGGGCGCATGTGAGTGGGGCAATGCCGGGAGGGGGGAGAGAAGGGCCGGGCACTTGCGCGCGTATGTGTGTGTGCAAAAATGGCGTGGCGCATGATCCCCCAACCGGAGAAAGGAGCACAGCACCGGGGGGATGGCACAAGCGCGGAAGCTTCGTCGAGGGGAAGAAGAAAACCAGAGAGGGGGAGAGCCGGGACACCGGAAGGCGCATGAGAGCGTGACGCAGCCATTGGCCACCACCCGGCGGCCCTCTGGTAACTTCTCCGACGAGAGCCACGCATTGACCAACCAACCGGAGGAGGCACCTTGACACCCGGGCATGAGGGGGGGACCAAGAACACCACCCAAGGGATGGGAGGGGCGCAGCAAAGGAGCAATGGGGAGGGGGCGCGTGTGGGGAATATTCTGAGTGCTTTAATGCGGCTCACCGCGACTGACCTTGACGGCCATGATTGCAATCCTTTCTTTACACTACAGTACTGTAGACGCAACACAAACTAAGGATGTGCAACCGCGGACGATAAAATGGCATTGGACACAGAGAGGGGAACAAGAGCAAGGGCAAGAGTTAGGACAGCGAGCAGGGGAGGTACGCACGATCTTTGTGTCCAGGCGAGGGGAAGAGACAGCCGGCGAGGACGCTCTCGGGGACAAAAGACGAATGAAGGGCAAACTGGGTGGGGGGGGGGAAAGGGGACGGGCAACGCTACACGCGAGCATGAACGCCCGCGGCAGGCACCGAGGCTCACATGGTCGGGTGGGGGAGGGCCGCAAACGCAAGCACAATCGTTGAGGCGCGCGGGCGTGTATATGCGCGTGAATGGACTTGTGTGCTCGTAAACCGGTACACACAAGGGCAGACACACACACACACACACACGCGCGCGCGCACACACGAACGCAGGCGGGCGAATGCGACACTCACGCGCAGCACACAAGAGGCCGACACCACAACCAGTCAAAGAGAGAGAGGGGAAGGGAAAGGCGCGCGCGGCGACGTACAGGAACCATATGGAGGGAGCGAGGCCCTTTGGCGGCGGGCCACCCTGAGCTCCCACATATATGGGCGGAAATGCATGCCCGCACGCGGGTCCCCGCGAGCACCCGCGCGCACGCGCGCGCCAGCACATCGCCCGGGGAGACACACACGCGAGCGCGCCTCCCCCCGCCCCCCCCCCCCTCTCCGGCGGGGCTCGGAAGACACCAGGGGGAAGACCGACGCTCAGGGGTGTGGCCGCTGCCCCCCGCGCGCCCCGCCCCCGCCGACTTCAGCCCCCGTCCCTACACCCGCCTGCGCCATTGGGAACGATGCTGGGGGTCCCCCCCCCCCTCCACTACTTCGACTCTCAAACAGGCTGCTTTACCAGACACACACCGGCGGGACCGGCGCCAGAGCCCCGGCGTGTTGAACAATGCAGCGCACATAGCCCCCCCCTCCCCCCCCCCCACCCTGGGCGGGGTGCGCACATACGCCAGGTGGGGGCGGGCACCGTGCACACGCGGGGCGAGGGTGGGGGGGGGACCGCGCCGGGGCAACAGGACAACCCTCGCACCGGCCCGCCCACATGCACGCAACGGGAAACAGGGATAGCCCTGGCCCGGCGCCACAAGGTGCACCATGCTGCACATGCTATCGCGAGGGCCTTGGAAAAGACAGCGTGGCGCCTGCCTTCTCGTCCCGGCGCCCGGCCCCGCCCCCGACCCCACCCGGAACAACATGCCGCTCCCAGGCCAGCCCAACCCCCCGAAAGGCACACGAGAGGCGCCCGAAGGGTGTTCGGCTCGGACATACAATGACCCAGGAGGCTCGGAAGCGGCTGCGCAGGCATTGGTTGCCTCCAGAAGAAGCCTCACACCGGAAAGCACAAGGAAAGACCCATGCCAGCTCTCCCACGCGATAAATATAAAAACATGGATTTTCCAAGTCTCTCCCTCTTTTTTCCGCACTGAAAGCCCCTTGCGTCTCCAGGGTTTCGCCAGGGGTTTCCAGTTAAGAACACCGAACGACCCCAAAATCAACGGTCTAGGGTCGCACCCGGGTGATCACGTCCCCATATTCGAATCACGCACTGCACACCGGCCAGCCGCCAATTATTTTTAAATTTCCTCCTGTGTATCCGGATTTTTATAACTGCCCAGAACCGGCGGCTGTTCACCGGCAGGAGCGGCGGAATCTGCGCTCCCGGCTCGCCATTCGGGCACCCGCCCCCGACCCGCCGCCCTCTGGCCCAGTCGGGCTGTCCTGGCGCTGCCTTTTCCAGGGCGGAGCCAATGGAGACGCTTGCTTGCGTTTCCCGGGGAACATCTCTCGGCGTGGCCCGCACCGCCGGGCCGAAGATTGCAGCCCCCCCCCCCCCCCTGTTTGGCCACCGAGAGGGAGGTGGCGCAGAAGGAGGACAGGCAAGGCAGGGGAGGAATTTATCATGACCCGCGGCTGGCACTCGTCCCCGGGCCCCTCCGGGGATGAGCCAGAACGCCTCCTCCCTCCGCCCCTTGTCGCCACACATCCGCATCAGCCTTGTGGGCTGACTTCGCCCCCCTTCCCTCCCTCCCTCCCTCCCTCCCCCTCTCTCTCTCTCCCTCCGTCCGCATTTCGCCCCGCCTTGCCGTCCGACCCCTGATGCTACCTGACCATGCGGGGCACAGGCTCTAGCCCTGGAGCCGGAGCGCAGCGGCCGAGTGTCCCGGCGGTGCCGGCCTCCGGGCTACCCCCACGCGCACCGCTCCCCCTCGATGGGACTCTCTCCCTGCAGCACACCTCGGACATGGTGCGGCGCCTGAAGAAGCGGATCGCCGGAACAGCGGCCACGATCGGACGCGAGGACCCCGGAGTCGGAGCGGCACCAGCAGCAGTAGCAGCAACATCAACATCAACAGCAATGGCAGCAGCAGCAGCAGCAGCGACAGCAGCCGCACCATCCCGGGCGCCCCTCTCCCAGTCGCGTGTCCGGCGATCTTTCTCCTCCAGCTTCGGTGACCTGCTGGCCGGGCTACCCCTGGAAGAGCCGGGTGCCTCTGGCAGTGGCATTGGGGAAGCGCCTGGCTTTTCTCTCGCCGCCCTGAGTAGCGGAGATGTCTCCGACTCATCGCTCTCCTTCTCCTCACTGCTGAGCGGCCCTGGTGGTATGCGTCCAGCCGACTCGGTCGTGGCCGCGACGCATTATGGCAGCTCCTCCCCCCTCACCGGGATCCCACTATCCCTGACGGCATTGTCGTCCTCCTTTTCCGGATCTTCCACGACTCCGACCGCCGGCCCTGGGGTCCTATCGGCCTCGGCCGGGCCCGGTCCAAGTGCCGGCACCGGTGCCTCTCGACTCACGGCTTCAATGCTGGAGCCAGTCGAGGGAGCCGCGGCTCCGGCCACAGCTACGACAGCATCATCGGCAACCACGACAGCGACGGCAACGACGGCGACGGCAGCAGCATCAGCAGCAGCAGCAGCAGCAGCAGCAGCAGCACCTCTGCCGATGATGGCGGCCATCAGTTCCATCAGCCGGCCGCGATCCCCTGCACCGAACGACCTCCCCGCATCGAAGCGCCCGCGATCGGACGCCGACACTTCCCCCCCAGGACCTCCTCCGGCATCCCTCCTCCCGACGCCTCAATTCATGCCACCCTTTCTCGGAGACTTCGCCGGGCCAGCGGACGAGTACCTGCGCGGCGCGCCGGCACTGACAGATCTGGAATCAGCAGCTCGATCGCAGCCGCAGCAACCGTCCGTGTGGATGGCGTTGTTGAAGCATCACGAGGCCTCGACGGCCGTCCGACTGGAGGCCTACCGGCGCGAGGGTGTCCCAGCCACATCGGCCGCCTTCACCAACGCGCTGATTCAACTCCGGGGGAATTACCACCTGGCCCTGCAATCCATTGGGGCCGACTCACCCAATGACCCGCTGGTAGTCCGGCTTTGGCTGCGTTTCACCGACCTGCAGCGGTTCGTCCACAACCCTTCGCCCTCTCTCTTCTCTCTTCTCTCTCTCTCTCTCTCCCTTCCCTCCTCTTCCCCTTCGCCTTCTGCCTGGAATGCCAGCACCTAACTAGCCTTCGGCCACAGCATCACAGGTGACGACAACGCCTCCATCGAGGCTTCCTTCCGGCGACTGGATGCCGGGCGCATTGGCCGACAGGATGCCCGACTGGCTGTGGCATATGCAGACTTCGAGCTCCGCCGAGGACGCCCGGCTCGTGCGCTGGAGATCCTTCAAAACGGTGCCCTCGACGGGGCCCTCCCCTATTCACACCTGAAGGCGGCTCTGACCAAAATGAAAGATATTCAGAGATCCCAACAATCACAGTCGCCATCACACTCACAGCATCAGCAACATCAGCAGCAACAGCAGCATCAGCAACAGCAGCAACAGCAGCATCAGCAGCAACAGCAGTCGCAGTCACAGTCGCAGTCGCAGTCGCAGTCGCAGCCCCAGGCTCCGACCACCACCATATCACCTGTATCCACGTCACGCCCCCATCGTCCCCCCGGCACTGCAACAGACACTAGCCGGGCAACCGCCGAGCAGATTACCTCCTTCTTCCGAGAGGCGGCTTCGCGTCCCGCCAGCCTTGCGACATCGGTTTCGGGGGCATCCCCGGCGGATGGCCTTCCGGCGGCGGTTCCGCGTGCCATTGCCAGTGGCCTCTCTTCATTTAGCCGGTCTGCCAACCTGCTGACAGGTGAGGCATCGGGCTCGGGTATGGGCCCGACTTCGACCGGGGCCACCAGCGGCTCGGCCGCCTCGCCGCCCCTGCGGGATAAGCCCATCCGTCAGACCGTGGCCAGTCTCTCGGCCTCGCTGCATGCACTGAGCTCGCATCAGGGCCAGCAAGTGGCCCGGCTGGCGGCCGGATCGGCACTTCAATCGGCCTCGACGTCCACCAGTCCCGGGGGGGACCCATCGCTCCCGGCCCCGGGCGCCACCTCGGCGGCTATTTCCCCACCGACCTCGGCTCCAGCCTCGGCCCCCCTCCAGACCATGGGACAAGCCTCGCACCAGGTCCCGGTTTCGACCCTGGCCGGGGGATCGGCTCCAGCTCCGGCTCCCATTCCCCTCCCGGCCCCGACCTCGGCCCCGCCGCCACCCCCGCCGCCTGTACCGGTTGGTGGTCGGCCAGCCAGCCCGCGCGGCGGGGACCATGCCCTGGGCAGTGTCACACCAGTTCGGACACCGGTCCACAGGGGGGCTGGGTCGCCGGAATCCGCAAGTCGCTCGCGCATGGGCCAGCAGCTGGCCTCCCCGCCACCAGGAGATCGGGGTCTTTCCCCGGCTCGTGGGGCCGGTGTTGGCATTGTCGGCCCAGCTGCCGCGTTGACGCCCAGTCCGGGGCAACGGGGCGGCCGGCGCGTTGGTGGGGCGCTGGTGCCACCACCCCCGCCACCCCTCTCCGGAACGCCGACGGCCACGGCACAGCTGGCCGGGCCCCGGGGCGCAGGGCGGCCTTTGGCCACGTCTTCGGGGCCGACCCGGCCGGCCAGCCCGGCCAGTGGCAGTCCGCAGACTGCGGCCTTCCGCGCGCCACTCGACCAGCCGGTCTTCCACTCGCCCATCTCCAAGGCCATGTCGCACCGGAGCCAGGAGGCCCCAGCCTTCAAGTACGCGGCCGAGGTGGCCGCGCGCGAGGGGCTCACCTCGAGCAGTGACACCTCCGTCGTCGAAAATGATCGGTTCATTCGCGTGCGTGTGCTTTCTCTTTTCTTTTGGCAGCCCGGATCGCTCGTGCCTCCTGTGCAATGCGCTGACCCTGTGCCTTCGGTGTGCCGCACGCGTGCCACATCAGATCAACAACATTTCATACACCATCGAGGCGACCATCGGCAAGGGCGGCTCGAGTCGGGTTTTCCGCGTGGTCGATGAGGCTGGCCAGGCGTTTGCTCTCAAGCGGTGTGTCTCTCTGTCTCTTTCTCCATCTCCCTCCCTCCCCCCCCCTTTCTCTCTCTCGGTGTCTTCCTTGCTCCATACCCTCCCCCCTTGTCTTCTCCTCTCTGACGCTCTTCCCCTCGATCGCTCTATGTCCCTGGATTCACCCGTCGCCCCGGCCGATCTGTCGGCTGTAGAGTCAATGCGGTGAATGATGATGAGCAGACCTTCCAGGTGTTCGTTAATGAGATTGCCCTTCTGCGGCAATTGAACTCCAAGAGCAATGTCATCCGGCTGATCGATTCATCCATCAATCGGAAGGATCGGCTGATCTACATTGTGATGGAGCTCGGCGACACCGACCTGGCACGCATGCTCCACCGGCGGCGCGGCGAGGCCGTGGACTTCAATTTTATTCGGCTCTACTGGCAGGAGGTACAGAGCATCTATCGGTGGCTTTCGCCCAGCTTCTTCCCCCCCCCCCCCTCTCTCTCTCTCTTCCTCTCTCCCGCCCCGGCAGACGCAAATCTAATACCCGCAATCCGACATGAGTAGATGCTCCGAAGCGTCAAGGTCATTCATGATGAGTTCATCGTGCACTCGGACTTGAAGCCGGCCAACTTCCTGCTGGTCAATGGTCAGCTGAAGCTAATTGACTTCGGCATTGCAGCCGCTGTCAAGTCCAACGAGACCAAACTCATTCGAGACTCACACGTGCGTCCCGTGTACTCCGGCCCTGCCTTGATTTCCCCCTTTTCAGCCTCATCTCACCTCCCTCGTCCCCCGACTGCTCCTTCAGATGGGCACGCTCAACTACATTTCTCCCGAGGCCCTGGTTGATGGGAATGGCGCCATGTCAGGTAGTCATAAGGTGCGCATTTGGCCTGGCCAGCCCATCTAGGCCTCGGTTCTCAAGTCTCGCCTCGAGAGGGGGAGAAGAGAATGCCAGCATTCACTTGCTCCCCTCAGGCGGTGGGCTGCAGCCATGTCTCCCTCCCTCCCTGCCCCTCCCCTGCCCCTCTCCTGCCCCTCTCCTGCCCCTCTCCTGCCCCTCTCCTGCCCCCCCCCCTTCCTAACCCTCTTTCCCTTTGACGGCGTGTAGATCAGTCGCAAGTCTGATGTCTGGTCACTCGGGTGCATTTTGTTCCAAATGGTGTACGAGCTGGCCCCCTTTGCGCATATCGACAGCCTGATTCCGAAAGTCCGGGCCATCACCGACCCGTTGCACGTCATTCGCGTCGAGCCCATCCGGCCGGTGGATAGCGTGCCCCTGCGGGATGTGATTGCCCGGTGCCTACGCCGGGACCCCGACAGCCGGCCGACCGTGGCACAGCTCCTGCGTCATGCATTCCTCCGCCCGGATCGCCACCTGGCGCGGTACTTTGAAATCCGCCAGTCGGAGCGCTCTTTCACATCGCTGCGACTGAAGACACCGGCGGGCGAGGCCCCAGCAGGCAGCAGTGATCCTCTGGCCACCGGGTCTTCCCTGGAGCTGGCTGACGGGGACAACTCGGTCATCGAGTGGTGGATGGACGAGGAGGATGTTGTTGACAATGAGGCCCAGCTGTTGGGTCCCGGGGCCCGGCTCGGCGCTGGCAGCCGTGGCTCGCCCCCGTCATCCTCCCCCCTCCCCTCCTCGTCGTCCTCCTCGCAGCCGCCCTTTGCGAGCGGCCGGTAGCCCATCATCGTTGGCACTTGGCTAGCGGTGTGCGCTCATTTTCTCCCCTGTGCATATGCGCCGGTCGGTCGGTCGGTCCGTGCGTGCATGTGTGCATGTGTTGTGCATGCGTGTGTGTGTGTGTGTGTTTGGGCGCGCGTGCATGCTCCACGCCGTGACCCCCCCCTCGCAGGGGGGGGGGGACTGTTCTGCGGCAGGGGTCGGGCACGCTGATTCCCTTCCCCCCAGGCCTCGATCGTGCTGCCCCCAAGAGCCACCGGACCTGGCCACATTGCCCCTGGCTGAATACAGAATACTTTCCCACACACCCCCACGACGCTTCTCCTGCCAACCTTCTCTCTGTCTCTGCCCCCCCCCCCCCCCCCCTCCCGCCTGTCAAGATGATGCCCGTGTTCTTTGTTCCTTCTGCGTCAGATTCGTTCGATGACAACGACCCAGACTTCGAGTCCCTGGTCCCGATCGCTTCGGGCGCCAGCCCCGCGGCGGCGGCGGCGGCCATGCCAGTCGCCACCTCCTCGCCGCCTTCCTCGCCGCCCTCCTCCCCTCCTGCCCTGGCTCCTTCCTCACCCACGGGCGTGGCCGACGAGGCACCTGGCAAAAAGGTTCCCCTGACCCTGTTGACAGGGTTCCTGGGTGCCGGCAAGAGCACCACCGTGCGGCACCTGATGTCGCTCTCTGGACAGCCGGGGGTCCCGCGCCTGGCCGTGGTGCTGAATGACTTCGGTGATGGAGCGGCCGCCGACCGTCCGGTGCCCGTTGAGCTGAGCGCTGGTGCCGACAACTCGAATGAGAGCGCAGATGGCGCACCCGATGGCGAGGTGCGTTTGGTTGCCCTCACCCCCCCTTCCTTCCTGCGGCCTGTCGGGGGTTTCCCTCTTGCATCCAAGAGGGCAGAGCGGGGGGGGGGGGGGGGGCGGAAAAAAGAGCATCAACCCCCCGTCCGCCCTTCCTCCCCCCCCGAGAATACCCCCCCCCCCCCACCCCCCCCCCCCCCCCCCCCCCCCCCCCCCCCCCCCCCCCCCCCCCGCTCTCTCTCTCTCTCTCTCTCTCTCTCTCTCTCCCCCCTCTCCCTCTCCCTCTCTCTCTCTCTCTCTCCCTCTCTCCCCCTCTCCCTCTCCCTCTCCCTCCGCGCCCTT